TATGGAGAATGTCAACCACGTCCTAGGGGATATAAAGATCTTGAGTGATGGCACCTAGAACTTTTAGTACAAAGGTATTGGCTAGACAATGACAGAATGACTCCAGCTTGAACTTTCTACCAATTGCCATCTTTTCAAAAGAAAATTTATGTACGATTAATTTAATTGAACTAGCGGCTATTTGCCAAAAGTGAAAAATGATATGCCCTTCTTTTTTTAATTGGGGAACATTAAAATTTTATTGCATCACAAATGATTGGGATTTGGCACTTGCAGCATTGGACATGACTATAGGCTATAGCAGTCTACTAATTACCAAAAAAAGAAAAGAGAAAAAAAACTATATACAACATTCTACTTCAAACTTCAAGCAAATATCTACAACAATTGCTTGAATTTTATTTTTCCCCAGCAAGCACAAGAGAACCTTGAAATTGATAAAACAGAATAAACATGAAAAATAAACATGAAAAATAAGCATCACCCATGACTTTTACAAGATCCACCGCTATTGTGACCACTGCCAAGTGTGTAAGTGCAATTAGATGGCCCAGACGGCGATTCAGGACCACGTTGTGAAACCCCTTTGTCACTTGGCCTTTGAGCTTGCAAGGATCTACAACTCCCAATTAAGCCTTGGTCGGTTATTATCAAGAGGATCAGAAGCATCACTGTCCCACTCAATTTTATGTTTCTTCTCTCAGCTTCCATAGTTATTTTTGCCATGAACTCTGACGAAACCTTGGTACGGATGTATCTATATATATATAGTTGGAAGAATTTTTGGCTAGAGCTAGATATGATCATCTTTATTTAAATCAACTTATATTTGTCAAAGCCGCAAGTTAGACGGTCGATGCTGGTTGGTTGAGACGATCAATTAACCCATTTCGGACGATTAATTCCCATTAGCGCGAGCCATTGTGGGCTTTGACAGCAAGAGACGAGCACTAAATTGCATCATTTTTATCTTTCTTGTTAAGGAAGCATGCACATCCTGCCATGTGTCATGTCATCTGCTTGATGATCTGTTTGTGGACGACGGAGATGATGATATGTGATCCTTAATGCCTTTATTGTTGGTTTGATAATCCTGATCCCATTGTTGTTTTACTATCACCTATTATCTAGGAACCAGTTTGTTTATTAGCTACTCTTTAGGACTTAGTGCAGGACGTGTCAATCTGCATGTTATCCATGTAGTCTTGTCTTTAGGAGTTAGTTGCTATTTATTTGGTTGTATTGTTGATGTCTTCTGCCTATATAAAGGCTGTTATTAGTGAAATAAAATGGTAGTTCATATCAGAAAAATATTTCAGTTTAAAACTCCTCTTGCTGCTGCATTTCCTTCTCTTTCTCTATCAGTGGTATCAGAGCAGGCACAATGAATGGTCCTATTCAGATTTCAGTTCCTGTTTTGGATGGCAAAAATTACAACCGGTGGTGTGTGCAAATGAGGGTGCTTTTTGATTACCATGAATTGCTAAGTGTCGTGGAAAATGGAGTTGCTGAAATTGCAGAAAATGCTAATGATGCCCAAAAGCATGCCTACCGTGAGAGTAAGAAAAAGGACAAGAAGGCATTATATTTCATCCATCAAGGGGTGAATGATGAAGTGTTTGAGAAGATTGAAGATGCAGCTACATCAAAGCAAGCATGGGATACCCTGATGACAGCATACAAAGGTGCGGAGAAAGTCAAGAAGGTAAAGCTCCAAACCTTAAGACGTCAATATGAGCTCCTACAAATGGAGTTTTCTGAACCTGTTGCGACTTATATAAATCGAGTTCTTGCTTTGACAAACAAAAGTAAAGTATATGGAGAGGAGTACAGCGAGCAGGTCAAAGTGGAGAAAATTTTGCGGACACTCACACCAAAATTTGAGCACATTGTGGCAGCAATAGAAGAAGCCCATGATTTGTCCCAGATGACTATTGATGAGTTGTCAGGTTCATTAGAAGCACATGAGCAAAGAATGAATGGGAAGCAAATAGAGAAGCCGATTGAGCAAGCCTTCCAAAGCGAAGTCTCTATCAAAGGTGATCAAGGTGGTGAAACCAGTCAAAAGCATGGTGGTTCTCGTGGAAGAGGACGAGGACGTGGTTTCTACTTCAACAAAGGTCGTGGAGTAGGAGGCAATGACCAAGGAAAATCAAACTTTGGCTATCAGCAAAATTCAAGAGGCCATGGTCGTGACCGTGGTCGTGGACGTGGCAGAGGAAGGTATGACAAATCCAATGTTGAATGTTACAATTGTCATAAATATGGCCATTATTCCAGTGAGTGCAGATACAAGGATAATACTCAAAAGGCTCATTGTGTACAAGGAGATGATGATGTTGACAGTAGCCATGCTCTCCTGATGGTCACTGCTATTGGTGAAACACCAAACTTTCACACATGGTTCCTTGACACTGGTTGTACTAATCACATGAGTGGCAAAAGGGAGCTATTTGCTGATCTTGATGAGTCCTTTTGCACAAAAGTGAAATTTGCTGATGATAGAACTATACCAGTAACTGGAAAAGGAAGAATTCTCATCAACTTGAAGAATGGAGATCACAAGTACATTTTAGATGTGTTCTATGTTCCAGGCATGAAGAGCAATTTGCTAAGTGTGGGTCAATTGCTTGAAAAGGGGTATGTTATGAGCCTGCGTGATGATCAATTCTCCATTCTAGATAAGCAAGGTACACTTATTATTAAGGCCCCCTTGAG